GCGTCTATGCGTAAGCTACGGCGTAGGTCCGACGCAGAAGTATAAATCAGCCTTTACTTTCTTCTGCGGAACATAAAAGAAGATATTATGAGAAATGTCTCAGTGTTTCTTTTTTTTTCTTTTTTTTTTAATGGTTACCAAAACCTTTTCGTTACTGACATTCTTGTTTTTTGTTCCGCGGAAGAAATTAAGTCATACATGTTTGGAACAACATGTCTGATGAACTTACTCCTTGATTGGATGCAGTTGTAAGACTTTCTGGTTTATGGAAGTTGTCATCTTTGATACCAGAGTATGTGAGCGGAGCGTGGAGTGGAGCGGTGTAATTTTGAATGGAGGGAGGATTGAACGTCGTGGTTTTCACTTGCTCCAAGAGTGCTCCACCACCACTCCATCACAAGTACAATTCATGCCAACGGCCCATAAAATAACTGCATATTTAGCAAGAATTCACATATTAAACATAGCCTATTTAGCTAGCTTGATAGAGATCACTTAAATCAGAAAGCATGTGAAGACTAGGATGACGGCAATGGACATGAGCGGGAAGTTCTCAAGGAATTTTTTTGTTCCTTCTAGATATTGAATATTTTCAGGTGAAAGCATGATTTAAACAGGTGCTACTCTTATTCACACGCAATTGCTCTCTCAATAATGCATTCAAACAAATGTAATCTTACAGTGGTACTTCATCTGTATGTAGGCCTATCTGATTTCGAATGAACAGAAATCTGTAAGAAATGCAGCAATCCGTAGGTAAAATAACTGACAAAAACATACTGTTATTTTCATCACAAATATTTGCACTGCAAAAAGCAGCAATTATACCTTTTAATGCTGACAACCATATTATTAGCTTGTCATGTGGTAGGAAAAAAGTTTGCACACTGGTGTTCCAATAAGCCTCTTTGAAACTCTCCTGTTATTTTATTTTTTTCTTTTAATATACTTTATGAACAGAAGAACTGTGATATTTCAAACATACTGAAATACTTTAGCCGCGGAGCGGTGTTTCTGATATCAGTGAGCGAGGAGTGGAGCGGGAGCGGGAAATGGTGAACCCGGAGTGGAGTTGGAGCGGAGTGATTATTAAATGCTCGGAGCGCGGAGGGGAAATTGTTGCCGCTCTACTCCGCTCACATACTCTGTATGATACATAATTTATTCACTGTTGCTATGGTTACATGCATATTCACAGGGGCATGACTGCAGTTATTTGTTCATACATGCAGTATTTGAGCACAACTCTTAAATTGTGCTGGTCATATAAAAGCACACATAAGCGGTTCTGTGTGCTTTTATATGACCAGCACAATTTAAGAGTCACACCTGTTTGTTTGAAAATGCTTTTGCCAATCCTGAACACTGACTGTGTAAATGGAGCTAGAAAGATGGCAGCTTCCACATAAGACCTCCACGGTAGAAAAAAATTATGTCAAAGATGATTTGATGACAGGACAGAATTTGAAAGATCAAGATAGGCACTTGGGATTACTCCATTATGAAAGTCTATTAAAACAGTCGGTAAATAGAAGGTGCTAATTTTCATTTAGCTTAATTTTGGTATTTTGGAGACATTCATGCCTTATGAGGGGAAAAAAAACAAACTTGGCTAGCGGATTAAACTGATAAATTATTCAGTGCTCTCTGTAACATGAATTCGAATGGAAATTTTGCTCTATTTTTAACTGCAAACCGAAAGGTCACCAGAGTGGTGTGACTTTGTATCTCCACGCTCACATCTCCGGCTTGTACTTTTCTACATGTCTTCGAAAGAGAGGGCGCTTATGCGCGTGCCGTACACCCTGTCCCTGCCTGATAGGACACGCGACCCGACACGCTCTTAATTAGAGGATGCCCTTCCAGGTGCTGACCGGACCACACTAAGTCCGTCCTCTGACATCTGACTGGTGACATTTCCAGCCGGTGCCACCACATTCACCACCCCCGCCGCCACCTCGTTCACCGCCCTGCACTCTCCACGTGAAGGTCATAAACTCTCCCAATGGCTCTCTACGATCTTTCGCTCGTAGTCGTGTCCTGTCCCCTAACCTGACTGTACCGTCTGTGCTGTCGCGGATGCACGTCACCATTAATCAGAGTCATCGGAGTGAGGCGGTGGTCAGCTCGTGTAGATTGATGAGAAGAGTCAGCGCCGTTGTGGATGGTGCATGTACTCAGATTTGGGGTGGTGAGGAGATCAGATGACTGCTGAGGGGAGTGTGGTAGAGACAGGAGGGGTGAGTGATCACTGATGATCTGTAAGAGAGATGAAAGGAGGAACAGTGAGAGAGGGAGGGAGGGAAAAGGATGGGCAGGCACTTGCGTAGAAAAGACTGACTGAACAGGAGAGGAAGTGTGATATGGAGATCTGAGATAGGTAGAGCAATTTTAACATTGTGAATGTATGTCAAAGCTTGTAGGCCTACAGCAAATGTAGAGTGTGTGTTAATGAAAGATTTTAAAAAATGGAAAAGGTGTGTTTGGAGTGAATGTCCCCACAATGATAGTAAAACCTGAAATCAACTCCACAAGGAGTAGTTTAAAGATGGACCCTTTTCACATTTACGGGGATTTCAAAGGCAGAAGTCACCATAAGTGGGTAAACTTCTATAGTGGTCATTTTTTATAATTTTACTTTACCATTTTCTCCGAGAGCAAAAGAAAAAAAGCCAGCATTTCTATTACTTTAAAAGAAAGAAAAAAAATAGGTAATAAAACACAAAGTGTAGTACTTAAAAATGTACATAAAATGTTTAAAAATGACAATAAAAAAATTTGCTAGATGTACGATGTTAATAACTTGAAAATGCATCATCACGTTTTGTGAATAGGCTCTGTTTCTTAAAATCGCAATGAAACAGAAGTAGCAAGAGATTTTTCTTCCATATTGTGATGTATATTCTAGTGAAATGGATTATCAAAAGAAAAAAAAAATGTATTTGTTGGTTGGTTGGATGGATTTTGAGGTCAGTTGTAAGAAAGTGGCGGTTTTAAGTGGACTTCTTTTAATGATTGGTGAAATCTCACATGTGTCACCAGAGAGAAGTTGTTTCATCGGAAGATTGAGTTATGACATTTTGATTAAAAAAGTTGTCCACTTGAAAATGACCAGAAATCAATTATTGAGCAAGTAAATAAAATGATTTTTTTTTTTTTGTGGCAGTTTCATGTCATTGTGTGGTATGTTGGTAAATAAAGAGGAGAAGTTCCGGCTTTTATAGGGCATGTATGGTGCGAGGTGTGTTTATAGTTCTGGTTCAGGTTTTACCTACATTGTGAGGAATGAATGTTCCTAAAAGGTTATTAAAACCTGAAATCACCTGCATTGTGGGTACCAGCCAGCAATATCCACAAGGAGAACAGTTTAATGAACTTACTAAATCATGTTTTAATTAAGATCTTCTTTATGCACCAAGAGCTTGTAACATTCCAAAGAGAAAGGAAAACTTGAAATCGCATCATATGACCCCTTTAAAATCTAAAACAGAAGCAAAAAGGAAACTGCACACCTAGTTAGATAGCAAATTCAAAAGAACACGAAGCTTCCCGTCTGATCCATTGTGCACTTTCACCTTTTTCAATGCACCATTAACACTTTCTGGATCATCAATATGTACATTTTGTACTGTAACCCTTCACTTAAACTCATTTGATCTGGATCTTTGACTGATTGATTGTACCTTTATTTTGCATAATAGATGTGCTTAATTCATTCAGTTTATCCCCCCAAACCCAACCTTATGTACACTATCGTTCAAACACTTGAAAGAAATGAATACTTACTTCAGCATTTAATTGATAATTACATTTCACAATATTGCTGTCTTTACTGTAAATTTGATTAAATAAATGGTGAGCATAAGAGACTGCTTCAATAACATTTAACAATCTTACTGACCACAATTATTCTAAACGGTGTGTGTGTGTTTTTTTTTTTTTAATCTTAAAATGCAAAAGGGTTAGCAATAATATTAGGGGAAAGAAAATATCATTAGATAAGTATAAAAACAAAGTCATAACCATCACAGAAAACAAACGTGTGTGTGTCAAAAAGAACCAGTGGCCGGTGTTCTGTTCCTGGCATGGATAAGAAGGGGCTCCATGTCTTAATATTAATTATTAATTGAAGCCTGATTAGAAATGGCAAAAATAGCGTATTGAGTGAGAAAAGAAATGTGTCTTACTCTCATCTGAATTCAGCAGAAATATATCATCACCAATGATTTTCTGTGCAATTACAGACAGTCAGCATAAACACACTCAACCCTCTACATTGCGAGTAAATCACTCGCATATCTAAATGCTAAATGCAAAAATTTACTAGCCAATGGCGATTCAATCGCCAAGGTGTCCGTAGAGGGTTGCACTTTTAGATGTTCACACGATTTGATGATTCAGAAACAACATAGTCCATATTTTCCATAAAACTGCTTGTGAAATTGTTTCCACTGGGCTTTCGGTCCAGTACAGAAGGCTCATCATGTCCTCCAAATTTGAAAAGACAATTTAGCCTATTGATTCCTAATCTATTTATCTTGTCTTCTCAAAAGGTTTCCTTTCTTTTAATATGGAGCCAAAGCTAGACTGCTAAACAAATAATTATTAATAGAAGCACAAAAATCCAAAAAATACAAAATCCCCCAAATTATCTTCTGCACTGATGCAGACTTAACTAAACTAACTAACAAACCACAGCTAACTAACTAACTAAGTAACTAACTACCCATAATATTTGGATATCTTATTTTAAAGAGTTAGTTCACCTAAAAGGGACATTTCTGTCATATTCTACTTGCAGTTAAGTCGTTCTAAACCATATGGTTTTATTTTTTCTGCAGAACACAAATTTTTGGTCTATTCCTCGAACAAAACTATCATATGACTTAAGAAGGCATGGAATATAGTCACATCTTCACATTCCATGTTGCTGTCAACAAAAACATGGGCTTCAGGACATAGTTCTCAAAACTTTTGCTTGTCTTTTTCTTGCCCCACAGCAGCGAACCAGAAGGAGGCCCTAAAGGGTCCATTCTGGGTCAAAGAGGAGCCCCAGGCGGAAGAGCCCCTCAGCTCTCAGAGGGGACCAAGCTATAGCTTCTGCCAAGAAGGACCTCCAGGGTCCACCAAGCCACGAGAGGAGGGGAGCCCGATGTTGGGCAAGAGCAGCCTACTTAGCCAGGACATCAACGTCAAAGTGGCCTCTGAACTGCTTATGAAGCTCTCAGGTCAGCAGATGTATTTTGGTGCATGCACTCATATGTGTGTGTGTGTGTGTGTGTGTGTGTGTGTGTGTGTGTATTTTCAGGCTTGAATTCATGAGTGCTGTTGAGGAAACTCAAAGGCCAGAGGATTGAGTGAGTGGGTGTGTGTGAGAGAGATATGTGTGCTTTGCATTCTGTTTCTTTTTTCTCGACACATTGCTAAGGTCATATGTACAGTAGAAGACCCTTAATGCAACGGTACTACTGAGGTTATAGAATAAGCTAAAGTTTGTATATTCACATCAGAAATATGTCTATACATTATGTAAAATGATGTAAAATGCTGTCAGGTCGTCATAAAATCCAGCGGTCGTTTATATTTGCTTGTGTTTGTCTGTGAATTTAGTCTTTCTTTCGTTCTTTCCTTGTTTCTTTCTTTCTTTTGCCATTTAACTCCCTCTTTCTTTTGCACTTTCTCTCTCTCTCTGACCTGCTGCTGTCCATTCCACTCACTCATGTGTTCTGGGCAGAAGGAAAAGGGTCAATTCCTTTTCATGTTGCTCAGTCAATGCGCTTTTTATCCTGAGCAGTCCTCTGCCAAAATAAACCCATTGATTGCCGTTTTGGGCCGCTGGTCCAATCTTTATTTCAACTCTACAATACAAGGGGACTGAAAAAGTTCAGGTCTAAAAAGTATTCTGTCACTTCCACTTCGTGTACACTTTTGTGCTTAAATGCAGTTGAAATGGACTCACCACCACAAAGATGGAAATTTATTTGTGGAAAAAATGCTTTATTGATAAGAATGTAGAGGTAGGGTAGGAACATTTGGGGAGAAGGTGGCTGAACATGGTAGTGTTGCGAGCCAGACATGAACTTGTGTAACTCAGACACGAAACCACAGCACCAAAAAAATAAATGCTTTTTAATTTTCTCATACTAATCAGAGATGGGTTAAAAAAAAAATCAATTAGTCAATGCATACAAATTCTTTCATTAATGATTTTGAACTGAACATAAAACAAATCCGACAAATGAATTGAATTTGACAAAATGTGTAGTGACTGTTTTGTAGAGATTGACCGATATATCGATTTACCGATATTTTTCCCGATATTTAAGCATTTTACAATAATCAGATATCGGTTTTGTAATATCGGATTCACCGATAAACGCCGCCATCTTGTGGCTGTTTTGAGAATTGCGCGCAGGATCGCCATTGCACCTCGGCGTCTGAGGGGAGAGGAGACAACAACAACGGCGTGCACAGGTACTTGATTTACTGTAGTTAGTAAACTTTATTTAACATAACAGCCATTAATGCACAAATTAGATGTATTACATAAATGTCTGATATGCAGTTTATGCAGCTCGAAGAAATAGAGAGGAACTCACGGAGTCACGTAAGATAATCCGTCAAGTCCTGTCCCAATAAAGATGTAACTTTGCATGAATTAAATAATATGCAGCCATGAGTGGGCGCATTTTGGAAATAAAAGTGCTGAATTTAATTCGCTCTCTGTTGTCTATATGCTCATC